CTATTACAGTATTAGTTTAATATCTGCAGTATTTTTCGTGTTGGTTTGAAATCACTGTTTTGTTGCAAGTGAAGATGTGTATTTGTATAAATGTGATTACAAGAAGTTTATTGTTGAATTTTGATTTGAATAGTGGACCAAGGTGCAGGGATTTATCATATTAACAGGTTATTGTTTGTTTTTTAAGTTGTTAAATTTGTACCTCTTTTGGAAAATATTTTATGTAATAAAACAAATATTACAAATCTTTAAATGTGTTTAGTTGACCCTTAAGTTTTTTTTTGTAGTACACATTCTGAATATGATCCTAAAATTTGTCTCTTATTTATGAACATGTACCAGCTGTGTAGATTTTCTGTTTGTTTCACCCCTCTCTGCTAATTCTTTTCTTTTGGGAAGTCTCCCTAAAGATATTAAGTAAGAGCCAACCATTATGATCATTAATTTGTACCTTCAGATGAATCATAAATGCACATGTGTCCATTTTTTAGCATTGTGAAAAAGGGGGTTATTTGTTAACTGTTAAAATTTTTCTTGTATCTTGTTTGACACCTGTTCATCAGAATAGCCACATTCTATACTCAATCATGGCTTATTGGATTGTGTGAAGCAAAAGTCCGTAGGGGCTAAATAGAGGTGTTGGAAATGTACATAGTAATGCCCTTTGGGCTGGAAGCTAGTGTGTGCACTTTAGATGTCTGTACCATGTGGGAACTCTTCAAAAATGTTGTTTCCTGAGCCCAGTCAAGTTTACACCTAACACATTATGTGCATGTAAACTGATAAAGCCTCCATGTGCATGGTGTGTTGTCAGTCCAATCCCTCAAACTAGAATTATGATCATGATTAGTTCAACTTACTTGAAGAGTTGTAGGGTGGGATCATTGAGTGTAACACATATGTTTTGTGGTTTACAGGCGTTGCTCACTCATCATCAACCAACGAATTATCCCACAAACTATTTTTTGAGAGACTTCCCAATGGATTGATAATGTGCAAGATCTGTGGCAGGGCTGTCTCGCACATGAAGAATCATTTTACAACCCATTCAAATGAAAGAGCTCAGTGCCCAGTCTGTTTTGTGTATCGTTCTAGGCCAGACAACTTAAAGCGTCATATGAAAACTGCACATCCAGACTATCAATTGTACCAGTGACACTGAACATTATATGATTAGTCTGTGCAGAAAAATGTGGCCAGGTTTAAAGATCAGTTATGTTGACAGGAATAAGGCTGTTAATGAATCGCCCTCCTTTAAAACATCATCTCAATTCCCTATCCACTTTATTTTTCTCTTGTTATTTTCTTCTCACTAACTTTTCGTTATTTTCATTGTGCTAGATACAACTTTTTAAATCAGTGTGTGCCTCTATGTGAAAATTTTTAGACTTGGTTGAAGGCCAGTGAAAATCATGTGCCCTCAATTTGATCTCTCTCTGCAGTAGTATCTGTCCCTTCAATCAGCTGTTTCAACGTTTAAAATCACATCAGATACAAAGAAGTCAAAATGCATTTTAAGAAATCTGTTTAAGTGACTCAGTGTATGAGTCATTGAAATCTTAAGTATGGGCATTGGAATATTTCTTGATTACTGAACTAGTGTGGTGTGTTGATATGATGGTTCTGCATGTAGAAGGCCCCCCTCTTGAAGTAGTGTTGTCTTTCCTGTAGACTCCTTCATGTAGTGGAGTAGTTATAGAGTGGCAGGTGGTAATCATAATCATTTTGCATTCAAGTCACATTTGTAAATGATTAATTCTTGTTATATTGTCATAAATTTTTCTAGAAGTTGATAGAAAAAATATTCCAAAACGCTGGAAACTTTCAATCTGAATTTTGTTAGTTGCTGGGGTTTCATATTTTAATACATCTCTCCTAGCCCGTGGTTATAAGTGCTACAATATTTCTTTCTTTCTTTTCCAGGATTCCTTTATCCACAGGCAGAAGTTGAACTATCTATTGAAGACTTTGCGCAAATGTTTGAGGAGTTATCACATGGACTAGCTAAATGCAAAATTTGTTCCAAAATAGTGACAGATATGGAAAGACATCACAAAATGCATGCCCTTAAGAAATTTCCTTGCCCATTGTGCCCCCTATCTCTAACTCGAGCTGATAATCTGAAACGCCACATGCGCATGAAACACAAATTGACTCCTGAACAGATTGAAGCACATACTGACTGCTGAACAGATTGATCTTAAAATGTCAGATAAATTGTGATGAGAGATAATCTAATGATATACTTTTCTTTTTTTCCTGTTCACTTGCCATGTTACGGCCAAGCCAAGATAATGATTATGTGCCTTTTAGATTTTAACTGCATTGCATTTTTTATCTATTCTTTTATTCCTTTTTGTTTTTTTTATGGTTTTTGTTTCAAGAATCTGAGTAGAGTAGTTATTTTTGTGTTGTGCTCAAAAATGGACATGGTATCTGCTGGCAGGCCAGCAACTTGTCATTTGTGGTGCACTTTATATATTTTTTTAAACAATGAAATTGCAATCTATCGAAACTAATTTGTTTTGTGCATGATTGATACCAAAGGAACTATTTTAGTATTTTACTATATGTGACACGCTGTACCTAATCAATTTCTCAAAAATCACTCTAAAAGATGAAAATGTTGCTGTAGTTCTTTGGGAATATGCCTCTAAGTGAAAGTTTTCTTTTGAGATCAACTTTTCCCATGTTACTGACAGTCCTGTCAAATTTATTGTGCACAAAGTGGTGCTAAACAGTCAAACAAATAATATCAACTGATAAATTATGAACAGGTACACTTTACGTGGTGTAATCATATTTTTTTGCTCTCTGGTCTTTAAGGTTTGAATATCAGTATCAGTCATTCATTCTTTATCCCATTCTTCAAACAACCACCCCACCGTTTTAAATTTTAGATTGTGAAGTTCTTATAGTGTGATCAGTGCATGGGGATGGGGTCTACTTGGTTTTAATTGTCATCTAACATCTTCATTACTTATCATTCATGTTACATTGAGTGCAGTATTGCTGCTTCCATTGCTGTTCATTTCATGTCAGGAGCATTGGGAGTCTGTAATGGCTCCTAACTTTGCCCCAGAGCTCAATTTTCATTTTTAGATACTGTTCTTAATCTATTTATTCTCCATCTATTTAATGGACATCTATTGAGGCTGGGGTATGTTGTGCAGTTTTATTTTTACTGAGTCTTTCTGTAAAAGTTATAACTTTTTCTTTAATCTCTGAAACAAATTTATCTGGCATAGATTTGAGACTGATTATGTGAAATTTGTAAGATAAGGATTTTCTCTGTAAATCTTCTATTAGTTTTGTGGACTTCCTCAATACAAATTAAGGGTCATACAAGCTCCATGTACATTAATTTATCAAGCAATAAATTGTTACTAAGTAACAATACAAAATAGTCTTGAATTTTCTCTTCTAGTAGCCTTTGCCCACCCACTGCACATGACTATCACTGTCTGTAAAGGTCTTGCTTTTGTATGTACTATCGCTCTGGCACTTCCCATACAAAACACATTCATTCATTTTTTGTTCTGGTGCTTTTGGTGCTTCAAAGTTCTCTTCGTTCTGATACATTTAGTCAGTAAATGTATAGAATAAAAGTGCAAACTTGGATTTATGCAGTTGGAATTGTTTTTAGTTTTGTTTTTGGATGGACATTCATTTTGCATTCTTCATACAATAGTCTACAATTTGAAGCGTTACTTATGCCTCAGTTTTATGAGATTTGTTACTAAACAGTTCAAGTTGTCCTAGTTCACAGTTCTGCCACAGAGGTAATTCAGAAATGCTTGTGTGTTTTTATTTTCTTAATTTCTGTTTTGAGGGTTTGTCTTGTCGGCTAGGTGTGCATTGCGATGATATGATTACTGCATTACTGTGACAGTGTCAGTTTGTGAACTACATAAGTGTACACAAAGGAAAACTAAGTTGATAAGTCTTTGTGTGTGAAGGTTGTGCATTGTCAATGGGCACAATACATAGGAGATTGGCATCAATTTGTTTCCAAGCATTGTGTGACTTGACAATCTTGTCCATATATCTCTTCACACATCATTTGTTGGAAGCAAAGGAATTAATTCTTCATCTTTTACTTGATGTTAAATGAACGTTGCATTCCTCTGACAGTCTTCAGATACAGCACAACTTAAGAGACCAGCCTCTAAAAGACATTTTGCCGCTGCATGTTTCTATGAGAGCAGCTCACTCAATGGGTGCAATTTGCATGTGATACAAAACCTCCTGAATATCTTTTTAAAAATTGTGAAGTGATCTCAGGAGTAAGTCAATGGCTTTGCTAGCTTTGCACAGATATTAAAAGATAATTACAGTTTGCAGTGTGTACTTATCCAAATTTTCATGTAAAATGTATAGTAGGACTATGTGCCAATGCCCTTTTTCATGAGATGCCGAAGGCACTTTGTATCTGAGATGGAAGGATTTTGATGCCAAATTTTTGGCAGTTTGGCTCAACTTAAAAGAATACTCAGACAAGATATTAAAAACAAACACTCTCTTTTTTAAAAAATAAAAAATGGTGGAATTGTGAAAATATGAGAAAAGCATGTTGCTGCTGTGTGCCTAACCCGGTGGGCAACTGGGCGCTCCGCTAAGTGATGGTGTTGTCTGTGTCTCGCCATGCCCATGCAGTGGCATGCCAAAGCCCAAGGCATTACATAGTCCTCCGGTGGTGGGCGAGTCCGGGCTGGACTTTGCGTAGCGGTTTTGCGCCCGGTCATCGGTCCTGAGGCTCTAGGTCAGGTCCAGGTCGCGGTGTTGTCTGGTGTGACCTTGTCGCTTGTCTCCCAGGGGTCTCTGTTCCGCCTAAGCCGCCCCGGTCCCGCACACCCCTATAGCAGTCCGCCCTGCTCCGCCCTGGACTCGGCGGCAAGGCAGTGCACGCACACGGCAGCAGGGCTTGTCACTAACATTATAACCAGGGTATCAAAATCAGATCAAATCCATTGTGACACACGGCCCTTTCTCCTTCGCAGGGTCTAAAGTGTGGCACATGCGGCTGACCTTTGAGCGGATCCAGGGAGTGGCCAACAACTTGCACCGCTGCCGACTGTGCGGCAAGGTGGTGACCCACGTCCGAAACCACTACCACGTGCACTTCCCCGGCCGCTTCGAGTGTCCCCTGTGCCACGCGACCTACACGCGCAGCGACAACCTGCGCACGCACTGCCGCTTCAAGCACCCGCTCTTCAACCCCGACCTCAACAAGTTCCTCGCGCGCCCGCCCACCGGGTCCCTGCCGTCTCCGTCCCCCTCGCCGGGTCAGTCCGCGGGAGCGCAGGACCTCGCGACGACGTCGAGGGGCGGAGGCGGGGGTGGTTCTGGGGGCGGCGGGGGCGGTGGGGGAGGGAGCGGCCGGTCCAGCAGCAGCCTGCGCGACTTGGAGCTCAAGCACTTCGGGGACATGATGGGGGAGCGCGACAGGGATGGAGAGGACGCCAGCGACAAGTCCTCCTGAAGATTAGCCGGAGCGGGAGCAGGCGACCAGGACTTGGGCCTGGGCTTCTACTCCCGCTCTGTGTATGAAGCTTTCGGGTCAATGCCCGGCTTCAGCGGCCTGCTCAACCCCTGGCGCGCCTGGTGGGACCCGAACCAGCCCTACAGGCACCTGGACTTCCACTCTGCGTCGGCCACTCATCCTGGTCCTGGTGGCCCTCCATAATGATGTGATGGTGTGACTCTTGCTACGATGGGTGCTCAAGTACCTCGGAGGGGTTGCCACAAAACTGGAAGGCATTTCTCTTCTCATTATTTGTATCCTGTACCAAGCGAGTTTTAATCCTCCTTATTTAGTTTGGAAAGGAACATTTTGATAGATGAAGTGCCTACTGAGGTCTGTTGCAACACCTATGATGGTAATTACCTCATTTCTAGATTAAATCTTATGTGGGAAATGAGACTCATCCATGTTCTTCTAGTTCTGTATCTCATGTTATTGTCTGCACAAGTCCAACAGCATTTAGTGGTGGCTTGCGTGAACTCAATGAGATTTTGTTGTGTTGGATGTACATCTGATGTGATAGTTTCTAACATGTCAAAAACAAGGGTGGGAATTGACAAAAGGGCTTAACAATTTCAGCGTTAATCAGGTGGTTACAAATTATGTATCCATGACATGCCCATTGTTTTATATGCCTAACAACTATGCATAAAACTGTTCAAGCATGGGTTATTTTAAGGAAACAAACTGATCAAGGAACGTCCAAGTACTTTAAATATTCAAATTCAGGATCAAATTCAATTTTTACTTATCTATGAATTTGAAATGCCCCTCTTCTTGTTAATCCCTTAACCAACTTTTTCTAGTCTGAAGAAAAGAATTAACATATTATGTAAAGAATCTATATTTGTTACATAGTTTTCTCAATTTTTCTTTTCATTTTAACAGCCTTCTGGCTCCTTAGTTTTTCTTCTATCCCTGTACCACGTACAATTCTATTGTGCGTACATACATCGTACTTTATTCATTGGTGCATGGCACCTTTATGTGCTCAGTATGACAAGCGCAACACTTAAACAAATCTCAAATTTTACTTGACATTGTGAGTCAAATTTGGTTTTAGAGTGAGCGATGGTCGTTCCAATTGAAATAAACAATTTTTATATAGATGAATATGGATATATTATATAAACACACAATATATATATAAAGTTATATTTTTATTTTCGTTATTTCCATTGAACATGTTTGTTGATTTGTGCTCTTCTTATCTTGCTATACAATAAGATGTTGTGTATGATTGTTAATCTGTATGTTGAAATGTATGCTGTGATTCATTTATATGTGTATAGACCTAAATGTCTTGCAAATTAATCAAATTGTGTACCTTTTTCTATTAAACTCTTGTGCTATGTGCACTCAAGTCTAAGTGTGTACTTATCTATAATGTGGTTTTGTTAGTTAAAGCTTAAAGTGAATTTAACTACCATTATACAATACTCATTTCTGGCCAAATCTTGATATTTAAATGTCTTATATCTATTGAGAAAGATGATACTGTCTGTGCACAGCTCAAGTTAAGGCTCTGTAAATATGCATTTGGATTGTGTGTGTTTTGATAACACATGCAATAAGTTTGCTAGTTCCATATTGAATCTTGTGAACAAGAGCTCAAATGATGCAAGTTTCTGTTGGTTAGCTAGTGAGACCATCCCATTTTTGTGACTTTGTCATAGTTGGATAGGTTTGTGTTTGTAGTCTAAGCCATGCCAATGACCAAAGTTCTTGCCTTAGTCCAGAAAAGTTCTGTGCAATGATTCTGTTAAATTGGCACTGGACAAGGATGTAGTGTGTGAGAGGATGAGTTGTGGGAGGGAATAGAAATGGGGTGCTGTGGGCCTCATTGGATAGTGTGAATAACGTACAAGTTTCTTTCAGCTTTGTTAAATTCAGAGACTGGACTCTTGTGCTGTTTCCTTGTGATAAAGGTGCTGTTAGAAGCTCTGTACTTAAAGTAGATCCTTTGCCAGTAGCTGTTGCAAATCTCAGAAGTGTTATGATTTTGGTACTTTTAGTCCTTTGTGCTCAGTATCACATAATGCAGTCAGCTCCTCAGTCAATAATGTGTTTTGTAGTCGGCTTGTGTGAGTTTGCTTGCACATATAATTGTGTAGATTGGGTCTCTGTGTTTTGATTGGCTGTGACAGTGCACAGAATGGAAAATGCTTTTTCTTAAATAAGTGAGCAACCATTTCAACGAATTCAATTTTTAAATGGCTAGTGAGGAGTTTGTAGGCATTGTCAACTTTAACGACACTCATTTAAGTCCCTCTGTGACATTGATATTGGATCTTTATCATCAAGTATAATCTCGTTCATCAGCATTTTCTGTGTGTTTACCTACTTATGCTGCAGTAGTGCTGATCTGAAGTTTGAAACAGGAAAAAATGGAAAACAGATCTCTCAACTGAATTTAATGGCAGGCTGTTTTTCATGTAGTTTGCTTTTTTTAACGTTAATGCAAGGTTGTGGTTCTGTTGTAATTTGTTATGCAGCATTAGACACACCCAGCATTGTGTAGAAAAATATGGTTGCGCTTCAGATATTGACATTTTTGTAGACATTAACTTGCATGATCCAAATTCTCCCTGGTAATTAGTGTGCCTTGATGCACTTAAGATTAAGAAACAATTGTACTGTCAAGTTGGTCACAATAATGAATCTCTTCATGGACTGTTGATGGATTAGGTCATGACACATGACTGTAGGTTGGCTTACATCTTAATTTTTAATTTTTATTTGTGTTGCCACCATTTTTTTATGTATTATCTATTGGCCTGAAATTTTAAAGGGACTGATGCAAAAATCATAATCAGGTATTCAGTGGAGAATTTTGATCAAATATATTAGGCTCAATTGTACACTGGGCTTTATGCTTCTTTTATCAGCTGGTTGAGGTTGAACGCCAGCGCTATATCCCACATTTTGTATGTTTGCACCATTTGCTGTACTTACATTTTATTCGTTACATGTAAATAATTTCAAGGCTGGTATCAATTAGTGAAAGTAAGGTTCTCTGCACGGGAAACATAATTTGTTCTCTGTAAAAAAAAAAGTTAAAGCATGCCTAACAAGAACAAGGATTGCTATTTTGTGATAATAGCACTGCAATCAACAGTCTGAATCAAATTACATTTACTTAATTAGGAAATAGTAAGTTTTCTTTGTTAGAAGCACATGCCACGTATAAATTGGTACCCAGCTTTCATTCTCATTGATTAACTGAAGAGCAAGATTTTAATTATCAAAGCAATTCAGAGTGTGTTGCTCTCTTAATCTTAATTGACTCTTGACTGTCAGTGTGTGTAGGCCTTGGCTATGCATGGTTCGTTTATCTTAAAAAAAAAAATATCTTGAGAGCAATTTGAGTGCAATCTGGACTGCTTTGTCTTGCAGTGTCCCCCTTTTTTGGTTCATTTCAATGATGCTGGAAAACTTACAGTAAACCTAAAACATCTTTTTAGGGATCACGTTTTATTATTTTTTCTCCAATCCTGTCACACATAAATTTGTGATAGGCACTGCAAAGCAAAATATTGAACAACTCAGTTCCCCACCCAGTTCAAAATTAAATCATGTCTTTTTGGAAAGGAGGAGTTTTGTAAGGACTTTTATAACATGAGGATGGTTAGCTGTCTGGTAATAGCTGCTGTTTATTAATTATCTTTTTTTATCCCCCTTGAAAACTTGTCATGTGTTTCTGAACATGTTTGAGGATTTTTGTTTGTGATTTATATCCGTAGATAATCTCTTTCACCTGTTTGGTGTTTTAACAATAAGTAATGATAAACTTTCTGTAAAAGTTATGATCCTTGTTCATGTTAGGACTCCCATCTTTTTACAGTGTTTCAGAGCTCTCTTTGTGGTTTTCAGGAGGTATAATTTACATGCCAATAGCATTTAACCGTTTAAAGACTGTGGAATGTGGACTTTACATTTTCTTGTGTTTATCTGTCTTTTTATTTTTTTGAAATTCGTATAGTTTTTGTCAGTTGGTGCTCATTTTGTAAGGACCCATGCCAAGTGTGCAGTAACAAGGGTATTAATTCAAAAGGACTGATTTCCATCCTAGGAAGTGAGCATAAGAAAGTGGTGCAAATGCTTTGTAACAAGAGCTGGCCCTGTCTTGGATGTTATTTCCTCTTTCTCTTATGCATACATTTGGGTTTCTGGAAGATTTGATAGTCAATATAATATTATGAGTTCTAGGCTGTGTTGATCTACACTAGGGGTATTCTATTGTGAGATTTTTGCTCTACCTTTTGCTACAGTTTTATTTCATTTTTTTAATTAGATGCGAGTATTTACCAATACTTTTCAGAAAGGCTTCACCTCCTTTCATGCCAAAACCTAATACTTATCAGTGTGATTTTCAGTCTATATGTTAAGAAATTGATGTTTTTGCTACAAAAAGAAAACCAAACAAAATGGAACAATTTGTTATAGGTCATGATTTTAGTTATATCTGTGGCAGGATATTTTTCGTAATAAAAAAAGAAGTGAATAGAACAAAAAGCAAATCTGTGTAGTAATGCACTCAATAGACTTAAGTGAACAAATTAGAAAGGGTCTGCTGTTGTTGCAGGTGCTCTCTGTTGCCTTTCATATGAAATGCCTTCTGGAAGGGCACTTGCCAACGTCAAGTCAGTTTTTGATATGCCATAAAGAGTAAATTGGCTCTTTAATTGTAGGTTACTGAATTATCTCTCTAATTTGCCCATATTGTGTAGAACTCTGGTCATGAGTCTTATACACTGAAACGAAAAGCGTGTAAGCTTTCTATCCTGGTGAATCAAATTAGCAAATATTTATTGGTTTTGAAGTCCACACATTACTTTTTTCTGGAAGGGTATAAATTCATGACTACATTCCTTACGCTATTGATGTGGTTGTAATAATAATACAATCTATCCTGAATGAAATGTACCATCCAAAATGTAAACTGCATAGTGAATCCTCCATGCTACTTAACAAGTCAATTCTTTATGTGTAAGGATGTCTCACAGAAAGATTACACGCTTCTTTTTCAAGGTATAAAAAAATTTCACTGTGTAGTTTTTCTCAACACTGTGAAAGATGGAACTCATTGTAATTTAGTTATGGTCCAAATGATGAGAACTCCTTGCTCACTTGCACTAGTAACTTCCATGGATTAGCTGTTTATGTCATATAGTATTTATTTGAATGAGAATTCCACTCAGTTTAGAAAGTGATGGAAATGTGAGGATATAAAAAGATGGCCACGATTGATTATCGTCCACTAAAATGTGATTTTATTCTATAGATAATATCAGTTATTATTGAACTACCATAAGTTACCAAGTATCAAAAACATTAATAATAATGCCTTTATGTTTCTTATGTGTTGGAATTAACGTTTTTTAATGCAGAGGGAAAGTTGTTTTTTTAATTTAGTGAAAGCTATGTTGATATCCGTCCAGCTGGTCTAGATTGTGAGGACTTTTTTTAACTGTACAATTAAAATGGTATTAGGATGACAAGTGTGACAGTGGGTAGGTCACCCTAAGGCTCACACTTTTATATTGTAAAATATATTTATTTTTAACGAAACTGGTAAATGTTTATTGAGAAGGGTAAAATGTGTGTAATATACTTTGTACATATTGTCGATACATCTTTGAGAAGCGTATAACTTTGTTAGTTTTGTAATGTATTAAGTAGGCTATAAGGCATCATAAAAGGGAGAAAGGTGAAACATTTAGTTATTTTTAAAGCAAAGCAGGTGGATTATTTCTTCTTTTGCTAATTTTACCTTTTCTATTTAAATATTGCAAATGAACAACTGATTCAAGACAGCATCCTGTTGACTTACTCGTGGCAGTGCAATAAATGTGAGCTTATTAATTTAGTCAGTAAATCAACATCTTGGACCGATGTGATTAACACACGTGTTACTTACTCACATATTGACTTCAAACACTTTTTAAGATAACCATCTTTTTTTATTGACCCAGTTTCCTGCTTCAGTTTTGAGTTTTGTATGTGCAATAAGGTGTAGTGAAGTGCTTTTTTGTACTTGTGTGTGATAAGAAGTTAAGGACAACTTGTGCCAAATATGCCAAATTTGATAGAATAAAAAAACAAAACATATTGAACAGGGTCTTAAAAACATTTTGTCACTTGTGTTGAGTCTCTTTTATTTTTCAATGTGATGCCAATGTGTTCAGTTTTTCTCTGTGCTGGCAGAACTTTTCTCCATATCGGAATCTGATCAGTTGCAAGTCAGGCATATATTTGTTTGTAAGTTGTTAAGGAATGGAACGTTGCTGTGTCAAATTATGTGTTATCTTTAGAAGTAGACTACAGACATTCCTGGGGACAGCGTAGGCTTGTCTCCTCTTTGACATATTTGTACAGTTTGTGGTACCTGGATGTGGAATACTATCTAAGTCAGCTGTGGAACCAAACAAACTTTCACATTGTTCACATTGATTATGTATTATTTCTGAGCTTACTAATAAAATCTATAAAATCAATTGGATTGATTGTATTGCCTTCCTTTCTTGTTTAATTTTTCTTGGTATATGTGTGTGTGTGTGCAATTTCTTTCTCATAGTACTGCAATTTACCTTCATGGAGTGCATCAGTTCATTTCAAAAACCAGGCAAGATTAACATCAAGGTATTTAAAAATGTAACTTAGGCTGCATATTACTTCTCTTACAGGTGTAGTCTTCACATCTTCCCCTATTTAAGGACATATTCCAATTTATTAAATCTTATGAAATTAGGGTTGTTTGAGCACTGAAAAAGAATTGACATGGGTCAAGAAAGTTGTGAAAATGAAAATGGTGTTCTTCTACCTTCTAGAAACTATAAATGGCAAGAATTTTCAAAAGTTTTCTTTGCAGCACCTTACACCCCCCACAGCGGCATGTTTGTCAGGTACATCAGGTGCTTTACTTGTCCTCAAAGTAGGTAGCTCTCTTACTAGCATGTTCAAATGGTAGTTGGATGTATCAAATACTTGATCAGTGACATTTTAAAGGAAAGGGCTCTCTCTATCTCTCTCTCCTCTTTTCCATATGCTGGCAATGTCATTTCATTTATTGGCCCTATGTTTAAAGTTTAGTGGAAAAGGACTCGTAGGCCACCCTGTGCGTCGTGCTTGCACTGCGGGCTTGCCTACCCCGTACCTTGCAGGCGTTCCCTGGGAGTGTTGCTTTCGTGAGAGCAGTTATTTGCAACTCTGATGCTCGAGTGGCCTTGTCTTTTGTGTAAAAGAGTTTAACTACCACCAGAGTTGTACACGCGAGTAGGCATTAATCATATCGCCTTTGTGAGAATGTAGTGTGGCTTTCTCTAAATGTCCCTTTGGTGAAGGTGTTTTTCCCCCTTTAAATATTTTCTCTATTTCCCACAGTGCACATCCACATTTTAATTTGCATGATGCTGGCTTTGGACACGCGTTCTTCTTTTGGAGAGCTATTTGTTTTAGCCGCGTAGTCTTGGCACTCGCGGCACCCGGAGCCCACGCGCCCCGTCCGACCCGCGCAGTGACTCTCGAAGTGACACGTTTATTTCGAACGCGACGTGACGCCGTCGAAGGCGCGCCCATCACTCCAGACCAGCACTCCGCGAGGGGCGCCAAGGCAGCAGGAGTCCGGGGCGGGTGGCTGAGCTGCAGCGGGCTTTGTTGAGCAGCAGCTAGGCTGAGCGAGCGGAGCTAAGCGGAGCTGAGCGGAGCAGAAGGCGAGGCGTGACCTGTCGTGCCCTTGTCTGTCCACAGAGCAGCCGATGCAGCACCGATACCGCCCGCGCCCGGCCCGCACCTCCTACAAGTCGTCGTCCTACAAGGACATGTTCGAGCGCGTGCCGCCGCTGACGGTGGCGGACCGCGAGAAGTGGCGGTGCCGCCAGTGCGGGAAGGAGGTGTCCAACCCGTGGCACCACTCGCACACGCACCGCCAGGAGCGCTTCTACTGCCCGCAGTGCGGCAACTCGTACAACCGCATCGACTCGCTCAAGGCGCACTACCGCTCGGCGCACACCGGCCCCGGGGCCGCCCTGCACCCCGGGCTGCAGGCGGGCCCCCAGCACCTGCCGCCGCTGCCTCTGCCGCACGCCGCCGCCGCCCACGGCGCGCCCCCCAACCACAACTCGCACTAGGTGTCGCGGGCCTCGCTCTGCTCCTGCCTGCCCTGCCTGGTCGCCGACGCCTCCACCGCGTGGAGGGCCAGCGGCAGCAACAGCAACCAGCACAGCAACAGCTGGCCCGCTGCTGCGGCCGCCGCCGTCGTCGCCCGCCTCCACGGACCCTTCGGACCCTTCGGCCCTGTCGTCGGGTCCTACAGGGCTCGCGGCCCGGCGCGCGGCTCTCGCGGTGCCCCTGGCGGCCGCTTCTCGGGCCCGTCCTGGGGCCGGCGCTACCTGTAGGCGCCACCCTGGGCGCCACCCGCAGGTACGCGCCCGCCCAGGGCGGCGCAGAGCATTGTGGGGCCACTCGGTCCCGTACCGAACTCTGACCTGACCTCTTCGAGGTGCTACTAGAGTGTTGCCAAAAAGAAACTTATTTTGTATACCAATAGTTTTGTTGAGTACACGACCGATACCAGTCGATCGATAATTGTATACGATATACCAGACATGCGCTCTTAGGCGTCGTGTAAATCAGTTTTTATTGCGCGCCGCTTTTCTGACCTGGTTCTTTTTTTTAGCGCAGGGAAACTCGCTTTAATTTATTTAACAGCGCGAGTCCCAAGTGTACACAGGACTCTGCCCTTCATATATTTATATTGTTTGGCAGACAAACGAAGAGTGTTGTTCTAACGTAATTTAAGCCCAAAAGTTGCCTTTCAACATTGTTAACTATTGTTTTTATTTTAAATATTTTAAGTGTTTCTGTTTCAATTCTTGGATGGTGTGTTCTTTTGGGTAAGCGTGCTGGTCATGCTGTGTGTGATGGAAGATGAAGATCCTACACGAATTATTGATGTTCCACAGTAAAATTTGTTTTAAAGCCCACTTTTGCTGCTTTGTCGGGAAAGCTTTGTTTTGCCAGATCTACATACGACATTCCCGGAGGCGTGGCACTACCGCCTGTCTTCCGCCTTACGTTACCTTATTTATTAGTTCTTTTCAGTTGTTTTTGTAATTGTAATTTTCTACATCGATGTGTGCTTAAAGTAGTTGCTTGGACTTAGACTTAGTATTTTAAAAAGTCGCTTCACGTATTTCTTGATGCGGTTCTCTTGTGTTAGTCCTCGAAAAGCATTCGGTAGATCGCCAGTTGTTTTTGTTTTTTGTCGATGTTTTCTATTAGCGTTCTCTCATATGATATGGCGTTCGCCTCGCTGAAAAACCCGTTTTGTCTGTTGCTTAATGCCTTAGCTGCTGCCTCAGATCGCCCCACTCCACCGAGTATTGGCGTGCTAATGTAACAATTAGAATTGGTTCGATACTGGTCGGTTTTAAGACGACGGACTAATTCAGTCAGTAGACTTTTTCTTGGTCAAACAAACTGACACCTAAGTGCCTTTCCAGAATGGAACAAGCGTCTGCAAACCGCCCTGTTGGCATCCAATTCGATATCTTACAGGGGGTGTAGCGCCGCCTAGACTTAATCACAGCCTTAAAAGAAACTTAGCATATATGTATACGATTTTCATCCCATCAGACTGATCCTCTCTTAATTTTTTATCCTGTTTCTCTTACGTAGAGTAAGGCTCCTTGTTTCTTTTGAGAGATCTTTCTCCAAATGAGTGTAAATGTTAAGACTTACTTTCAAATCGGATCCATCCCATAACTTGTCACGTAGGAATTCCCGTGACAGTGTGTTGTAGTTACAGTACAGTAACCCTCCCCTCCTCTTCATCCGGTGAATGGCGGGAAAGGGAAGACCGTATCGCAATGACGCTGACGCAGCCAAAGGCCGCGACCTTTCTTACTGAGTCCTTGTGAAACTAATTGAATCCAACTGACAATATTCTGATTTGTTGTAATGTGATTAGTGTAAGTTGACAAGTTCTAAAGTCTTACCCTTTTTACATTCTGGCAAATACAAATTTTGTCTCATGGTGGCTAAGCTGAACGTTTTCTTCGTCAAACATCAATGTTTGGCATGGCTCGAAAACAGTTTCTCAGGCGAGCTCAGTTCACAGCGTCGAAAGACTGATTGTATGGAAGAAAGACTGAAAAAAGTGTTACTGAAAATCTTTGCGCAATTTAACCGCCAACAACTTGCTAGACATTGTGTTTTAGACTTTTTGGTCCATCCCTTATTTTACGCATATTTCAAATCAAGTATTTTAATTAAGCCAATTTGTAAAAAGAGATCCTGTTCAACACGTGGAAGGCGTCCTCACCCCACGCCGGCCCGGATGGACCTTCTCCCCCCCCCCCTCTCCCCCAAATCATAGACGCAACGCTTGGTTGAAAAGACACAATTCATTAGAAAATACCATCAATTTTTACTTGAAGCACAATTATAGTAGTTTTGAACTGTAATCGCGTTATGAGAATAATAAGGCTAATACTTATTCCAATATTGTATTTCTGAATTGGCAAGCAGCAATATATCTGCGCTGTGGACAAAAACCTCACACCATCTTTCTAAAATTGTATATATTTCTTTATTTTTACAACAAAGACACATGAGATATACGTCATTGTAAGATACATTTGGTTTTTTACTGTGGTACTGTTATATGTGATTTTCCTCTATTGTATGTGTGTTTCTTGAACCAATGGGACAAATTATATTTGTCACAAAATGTCTACTATATAATATAGAAATATGATGTATATAGATCGACCTACTACCAGGCGGATTGAGGAGTGATCAGTTCAATGAATTTTTCGTTTGTTATTTTAGAAAAGGTCTGCTTTTGCAGTCTTGTTTTTAAATCGCAAGGATAGTTTTCGTATTTAAATTGATCATCTGTTTTAAAGATCTCATATCTCATTGGTCTATTGGTCTTTATTTGTTCGCGGTGCTACACGAGTTTGTTTCACTATCGCCGTGGCTCTATCCCCCTTTTTTGTGTACAGAATAGTAGCGCATCACCGTTTGAGAGAAACGTTCGTATTATGATAAATATTAAGTGTCTATACTAGCACGCGCTCTGTAATCCGAGTCTTATGTAGATACACAACTCCTGTTGTGTAGAGTGTACCTATTAGTTTGTTTTGTACCAACGTGCAGTTGCAGCACTTACCGCCAAATAGCTTGGCCCTAAACTAACCAAAATGCTAGAGTCAATCATGGATATGCTCCAGTACTTCATACGGGTTTCCACCTGACCTTGCACGGGTCTGTTCCTTTCCTAGTTACCCCATACTTCTGTAAGTAAGGAGTTGATTCGTGCAGGGTAGGTAGTGCGTTTATGATATTTCAAGAGGCTTTGACATGGGGATTAATTATTTGCATTAGTGAAACCTGTTTTTGACTAACGGTTGACTCATATCAAAATTTCGCTGTACTGGAATTTGTCGAAGCTAGTGTATTCGATTCCTTAAAATGTGCATATCAGGCCTTTGTTTATCATACCTTTTAAATACTTCCGTGTGTACATGTTAGCACCCTCATCCATAACACCCCGTCCTTCCTCGATGTTATTCTGTACGGAATCTCTAGTATACGTAATTAATTTGTAGCAGGCGCTGATGTAACAGTGTACTGTTGTCAGCGTGTGTTGGTGTGGTTGGTGTATAGATTACAGTATTATCGACCCTTTGCGCGATTATCATATCGTTTCGTCTCCAAAGTTCCCCTAAGTTATCCGCTTATTATGTATAGTAATAACTTTCTGGTCTAACTATCGGCCATCGGAACAATGTATCCCCTACCCCATTTTCCCTTTATTGTGCATTCTCAAATGGGAATCTCAATAACTGAGTTATTGCACCACTTACCTATTTTGTGAGGTGGGGAAGAATTCCAGTGTTACATGTTTTTATCGAAGAAGAGGCTATCTCGCGTTGTGTTCCTCCTGGCGTGCTTCTCATGGCCAATGGTACTCTCTATTATTTTTCATGGCATCCACGTCCATTTAGACACTTCCCTTTTTTCTTTCATCCCGCAGATCAACGTTCTCACCACTCAGTTTTGAAACGAAAGCCAACGCTTTTTGAAAGTGATGGGTTTTGGAGGGCTTGGCATACCCCTCATGGTTAGTCTGTCGGTTTTGTCCGAGTTTTGTCCGCGTTCTGTATACGATGTTATTATTACACAACAGAAAGATCGCTATTGTAAAGTCCGCTTTACTCTGTTCTAGTCAGTAGCATACCTGTTGTGAGCTCGATGTCTCTGTTTCCCAAATACTTGTGTTATACCCGATTTATCAAAGTACGTACTACTGGTTATAAGGTATTAAAATAATTGGCCAAGCCCCTCCCTATGTGGCATCTTAATTGTATTTTCTGTTTTGGTTGTACGGAATTTGTTAACGCATTTATTATTAAATTTCTGTTTTAATTTAACTGCATACATATTTTTTTATTCCCATTACTATGTCATCATTCGCCTGAGAAGTCGAGTTCCAATGTATTTCCTAAAATCCACCGTTTTAATCCCCCATTTGAGATTCGGGCAATTCCAGATAGGGTGTCCGCACTTCATGGCACCAAAACACACACCTGTGCGTGTTGTAGGTAGGTGCTACAAATCGTTTGGACTCATTAATGGATGCGCTACTCTAATACCCTTTCTGTGCCTCCTGGATTGGCCAGTCGGCTACAATTTGAATAAAACAGTATCGTGCCGTACGGACACGAAACGGAACTCGATTTCGCTCCAACCACACAATTTAAAGTGTTGCAGTTTTGATTTGTTTTTTGATGTTTTTTTTAATCGATTTTCGATAGAAGAAAGTCTGACGAATCCATGGACACGTCATTTTGACGTATAGCTGCAATGTTTCAGCCAAAATAAAAAGATTGTTGTGCACTTTGTACGATCTGGAATTGCCCATCATATGCCCGGAAGATCAAGGCTTCGATGGATCAAAATGTTTCCGAAGAGACTTCCAACATTTGTGATAATTAGCATCCAGTTTTTGACAAGTCTCTTCTCCCCACTTCGTAACTGCTAGACTGAGAGATGACTCGAACATGAAAGCCTGCAAAGAAATAATGTGTGAGATCGAAAGGAGAGAGGGGGAAGAGAGAGAGAGAGAGAGAGAGAGAGAGAGAGAGAGAGAGAGAGAGAGAGAGAGAGAGAGATATGAGATGGGGTAAGGAGGGGAGGATTTCGTATACTTGGTTAAAACAAAACAAGACCCTCACCTGCGTGCCCTCAGCAACTCTCTCGGGCTTTAGAAGGGCCTTGGTGTTGACGTCGAAGCACTGGGCATCCGGACCGTGGGGTGTCATCATGGAGTGCAGCGTGGCTCCACCCGGCATAAAGCCCTCCTCCTTGGCCTCATAGCGGCCCAGGATGAGGCCCATGAACTCGCTCATGCAGTTACCTGAGCGGCAAGGAGATAGAGCAGCCGTGAGGGCCAAGGGCCAATGCCACCTCGTGTTGGGAGC